ATGCATTGATTTGGATCACTGTCCCTGATTTGATTCAGCCGAATCCGAATCTGAAGATTCAATGCTGATTTGGAGAATCTGTGATTCGGACCCAGACCCAGCTTTAAATGTTTTTTCTACATACCTCAAGGTACCAATACAGCTTGTGAATGCTGAGATGCTGGGGCGCATGGAGCATCCCACAGGAGTGCGGGGGGGGGGCCCTCCACATGCATGGCGGTGAACCTGGAAGTGGACCGGAAGTACTTCCAGTCCACTTCCAGGTCCACCAAGGAGCACACAGGGGGGTCTCCCTGCGCCCCCTTCCCCCAGCTCAGTGATCAGCTGCGGGGGGACCCTGGGTGCCCCCCCAGACCCAGGAGGCACCAGTCACCGAGCTGGGGATGCAGGGGGGCCCCAGCTTGCTCCCTGGCGGACTCAGAAATAGAACGGAAGTGCCTCTGGTCCACTTCCAAGTCTGCTGCCAAGCACGCTGAGGAGCCCCCACACTCCTGTGGGATGCTCCATGTGCCCCAGCATCACAGCATTCGCGAGCTGCCTGGTACCTAGAGGTATGTAGAAAAAGCATTTAAAGTTGTGTCTATGTCTGAATTGCCGAATCTTTACGAATCAATTCAGAGGGTTCTGATTTGATTCAGAGAGATTAAAGGGTCCTCTGATTCCATTCAGATTTAGAGATTCGGCCACCAGATTGGGCTGAATCTCCGCCAAATTGTATCAGGGACCAAAGTTGCAGATAGCCATAGTAAACAAGTATTTAGAGGTGATACATGAGGCAGACATGAGAAGATGGATGAAACGGAGAGTACAAGGAGTGGAGATGGTGGAGAGAGTCTTAGATAAGTAGAGAATTTGGATGGGGGCCTGGAAAGTGAGAGCAACCCTCAAGAATGATTAATTCAGAGGAGTGAGGCACCTGCTATTAGTCATCCAGCTAGGGCCTCATAGGGGGTATATAATGTGTTATGGACAGCCCAAAATATGCATCCAGTATGAGGAAGAGGGGCACATAGCAGCATATTGTGCGTTAACCCACTGCTACAGGTGTAATGGGACAGGCCACAGGGCCAGCAATTGCCAGGAGAAAATAAAATGAACAGTATGTAACAAGAAAGGTACCTATATAAAAGATGCCTGACCATGTATGCCAGCAAGGTAAGAGGGTCAGAAGGAGCAATTGAGGAGAGAGACCCCACAGAAAACAGAGACAGAATGGAAATGGAAACCCATACACAGTGGAAGAAACACTGTAAGAGATGGAGATGGGACCAAGCACTGACATCACAGTAGAAGCAGCCAGACAAGTAGTGATAAAGGAAGAGGAGGTGGTGAAGCAAGACACAGATAACTCCAAGATGGAGATAAGGGAAGATGGAGAGGCTGAGGAAATACAGAGAATGGAAGAAGGAAAGTGACAGGAAGAGGATGGTGGGAAACTGAAAGGGAAATGAAAGAAGCAGTTAAAATCAAAGAGGCTGAAAAAGATGGACCATGTGGAGGAAGATGAGATGAGTGAGATAAAGAAGATGAGAATGTAGGGAGGCAAAGAAGACAAGAATGAGAAAGAGAAGAGAATGAAGGAAAAAGATCCAGCTTTAAATAGAAAGGTAAAAACCAGTTTGAAGATAATAGAAGGGCTGGAAGGAAAAGGACGCACCGCAATGACAGGTACGGAAGACCTCTGAGAAGGATCACGGTGGAGGTTACAGTAACATCCTTAAACATATGAAGTATTTGGACTATGAAAAAGTGGAAAAAGGTAGAACTCATTTTATATAGTGTGCCTACAGGAATGTGGAATAATAGCAGAGAGTGATTATGAACATCTGAAGAAGAGATGGACGGCAGGATCATCATGGCAATCAGGAACAGAGAGCAATAAGGCGGCAGGAGCAGCATTCCTGATAAGGAACCCAAGAACACAGATGAAGCCAGGAGATAGTGTGCGGGCGATTACTGAGACTGGTAATAATGGGAGAAGAAGACAGAAATCTTTGATGTCTACACGCCCACAGAAAGTGGCCAAAGGATGGAACTATTCCAGCAATTAGAATTATACATGATGGGTGGAAGGAAATGGATTACTGTTGGTGACTTAAATTGCATGATAGAAAAAAGAGGCAGGGAAGGAAGTAGCAGCAGCAAGGTGATGGATACATCAGCAAAAACCCTGAAGGAAATTGATAAAAAAATGCAGGATTGGTAGATGTGTGGGCAAACTCCAGAATAGCAACAAGATTTGACCCCAGAGGAAGGAGGTCCTCAAGAATAGAACTAGTTCTATTATCAGAAGGTCTGTAGGTGATGCAAAAGAATGTAACAGAAGTTGCAGTGAATGACCATCAAGCACTAGAAGTCAAACTAAAAACGGGCCAGAAGAGACAGAAAAGGGATTTGAAAGCTAAACATGAGATTGTTAGAAAATGAACAACTGTGTAGGGAATACGCTGCGCTGTATAAAAGCTGGAAAACACTGAAGAGATGTTTTAAGAACCCCTGTGTTGCACTTAAAAGCAGGTTTTTAAACCTAGTGCTATAAGAGTTGACACAACACCCGGTTGATTACTTGCAGAAAGGCTTTAATAATAATACCAAAGGAAGCTATAAAACTAAATGACAGAGAAAGACCCCTTCCCAATAAAATAAGCTACTACACAAAGTTCTAGTACATATTTAGCTGCAGCAGTGTTTTCTCATCAATGCAGGCAGAAAAGCTGGTCCAGTCTTGCAGCCTTCACTGAGCAAGATCCTTTGGTCTGCTGTCTTTACACTTTAGCGGGTTGCAGCCATCACAGAGACTTGATTTTCTTGTGGCAGGCTTGTCACCACAACCCAGTCTTGCCCCAGCCACTGTCTTTAGTGTAGGCAGTTTTCTTTAAACACTATGATGAACTCAATTGGGGTTGCTCTATTTTGCATGGTCCCAGCTGTTGCCTTGCATTTTTGTGTGAAATGCACTGTTATTTCAATTTGGTCATATAGATTTTATATTTAGGCCTAGCTGAGCTGTTATTGTTTTCACCATTATCACCCTGGAATTGGTGGAGAATGATGAATGGAGAATGGTGAAGAAGCAAAGAGGAGAGTTCATCCACAAAGAAGGACAGAAGGAAGTGCAAAGGAAGAAACAACTGAGAACTCTGCAGGAGGAATTAGAGAAGTTGCTAAATCAAACAGCATAAGGAGAAGACAAGAAAAGAGATTGTAGAGAACAACAGATGGTTTAGGAAGAGAGCGAAAGAGAAGATCTTAACTCAAGTGTCTTGGACAGAAGAAGAAGAAACATAGAGTAAATATTTATCAACCAAACTCAAAGCAGTGAAAAAGGAACTGCAGACAGTGAAGGGAGTGAAAAGGGAAAGAACAATGGGACAGGAAAAAGTGCTGAAAGTGCCATGATCCTACTATGAAGAACTATACAAAGGCAGAGGGACAGATGAAACGAAAACCCAATCATTTCTAGAGGAAATTGTGCAAAAAATAGCTGAAGAAGGACGAGTGGAGTTGGAGAGAGAAATCACTCAGAAGAAGGTGTATGAAGCAATGAGAAAGTTGAAGATAGGGAAAACACCAGGCCGAGATGGACTACCAAGTGAATTTTATGAGAAATTTTAGGGATGCATAGGCAAGAACCAGGTAGAATTATTTAATAGAATCTGGGAGCGGGGCAAAATGGATGAAAGGTTTGCAGAAGGAGGTGTTGTCCTTATCTTTAAAAAAGGAGAGAGAGAAAAACTAGTGAATTGATGACCAAGTACACTGCTAAATGCAGATTATAAGATCTTTGCAAAAATGTTAGCTCAAAAAATGAGAGGCAACTTAACAGAACTGATCCATGAGGACCAGATGTGTGCCATACCAGGGAGAAAGATGCCAGATGCATTATGGTTGTACAGGGTCCCTATTAGGAGCCCTGTTACTTGCAGAAAATCCCAGACAGCTGGGGGAAGACTCCCCACCCCCGCACAGTCAGCCAATGGGAGACCATCTCCAAGAATAAAAGAAAGGGAAGTCCTGAAGAAAACGCCTTCAGGCACCAGAAGAAGAAGTGAGGAACGACAAAGTTCTGAAGAAAAGAAGAGGACTTACCAGAGACCTGGATGGACCCTGAGAAGGGATGGATTCCTGAGTTACGCAGCAGACTGGGGGCAGAGGGGATTTCCCTCCCGGGAGCCTGGCTGAATCAGCAATTGTGGGGGAAAAAGGAGAAGAGCGGAGATGTCGGGTGGCAGATCCCTGAGGGGAGCAGCAGGGCAACAGCCAGAGAGATTACCTTGCTGGTAAACCCAGCAGTGCCGGGGAATGCGGGGAGAGCAGAGACGTCAGGCAGTGGATTCCTGAGGGAAGTGGCAGGCTAATGACCAAAGCCTATCTTACCAGTAAACCCAGCCGTGCTGGGGAGCGGGGGAAATCGGAGGCGTCAGGCGGCGTATCCCCCGGGACTTACAAGCAAAGAGGATCAGATTTCTCAGCGAGGGAAAGAAACACCACAGGGCTGAAGCCCAGTGAGATTGGGGAAAACTGGGAACCAGAAACTGATCTTGGGGGGAGTAGCTTGAGGCTCTCTCCTAGTTTATGTACCCACAAAGAGTGTATGCCGCTAATGAGGTAATTAAAAGTGGTAAATGGAGACACAGGTGAGAAGACCCCTTATTCCCCATCTCCCTTGTGGCCCAAGAGTTAAGGAGGGGAGATCGTGTCTAATTACCCTGTGCTGGGGGGAGAAAGCCGGGGACATCCTCTACGTGATTAGGCGGCGCGAAACCAAAGCTGCCAGATGTGCAGCCTACTAACTAAGCAATTAACCATGCGGGACACTGGCCAACACTTACCTGGAAGATCCTGCAGCTGGAGATCCCCTCTCGAACCCCAGGGTGATCCCCGGAGTAATTTGAAATTGCTGCCGCCTCCAACCCAGGGAAAAGATAAAAAAAAAGAAATAAAATACCTAGAATAACATAACAGGTCAGCAGTGGTCATTCTTCGGGTACCAATTAACATCTCATCAATCTCTTTCCTCCCCTCATAAGATCCAAGTCATGGCAGGCAAGAACCAGAGGAACGGGCAGTACCCCGCTAACCCGATAACAAAGGTTAATAGGGGATATGCTGGTAGATATGCAAGAGAGAAGGTAACATGGTGGTTATAAATATAGATCTGGAAAAAGCATATGACCCAGTAGAGCATGGATTCATGCTTGCAGTCCTGAGAAAAATGGGATTCCCAAAGAGGATGATCTGGGCAAGACAGTTACTGTATGAGATGGACAAGAGCCAGATATTGATAAATGGCTACTTGAGCCAGGACTTTGAGATATAATCTGCCTGTTATCCACAGAGCTTTTCATGTGTGTCATAGTACCATTGGCCCAAAAAATAAGAAGAGACAAGCTACTTACAGGGGTGAAAATCCCTGATGGAGAAGAAATTAAGTGTATGCTATATATGGACAACATCACAGTAATAGGACAAGACAAACTGTCAATTGATAGAGTAATGAAACATGCAACAGACTATGGCAAAGTGGCAGGGGCAAAAATTAATAAAAAGAAGAGCATGCTAATGGGAATAGTGAACTAGGAAGGTCTGGAAGACTTTGGTTTGCAGCTACAAACAGAAGGAATGAAGATCCCGGGCATACAGATCCACATGAAAGGGAAAGGTGATGAAGCATGGAAAAAGATAATCGGGGTACAGCAGATAACAGACTTCTGGAAAAAGAATGCTGTCTAAACAAGGCAAAGTGGAACTGATAAAGACAGTATTATTACCAGTGATTCTCCATGTAAGAATTGTTTCCTCCATCATGGCAACAAACACAAAGGACACAAAGAGAATTGTGCACCTTTTTCTGGGGCAGCAAAAGGGAATTTGAATGGCAAGGCAAGAGATACGCAAGGGAAAACAGGT